AGTGTTTTTTTAAGTAGAGAACAACAGTCGTTCAGTTTGGTATATACACAATATCCTGATTCACATATTTTATAAAACACCTTAACTGACCATCGATTTATTCATTCAAAAGGAGGTAACATGTATAATTCAGTAGCTCTTGTTACACTGCAAGTTGAGAGTAAATATAATTAGGATTGGCAAGCTTGAGGTGCAGACAGCCACCCAGCCAGATCATCTGAAATGCAGTTATATGTGTTTCACGGAGACATGGCTACAGGATTGTAAACTCTAGATTAGAACTCCAAAGCCAACTCCAGTGTCACTCTGCCCAGCTTTCAGCTAAAGGTCAAATATCTGAAGACTTAAGGTACAAGTAAATTAGATTAAGTACTACTGCTTTTCAACAATAACCTGTTAAATCCAGCTAATATTACTGCAAAATATGATACCTGCAACAAGTTTCCATGTGCATAATTTGTCACATTTACCATGGTAATAAAAATCCCTTATGCAGATCTTGAGATTTTAACAACACCCCTTCTCTATCTTTAACTCCCTGAAAGTTTAAACCGTTGCTTAACTGCTCAACTTGAGAAAATGCAATGTTAATTTATTGTATTCCAAGTTTGATGTGCATACAATTGTTGCAAGATATGCTCTTGCACAGCAGCTCAGTATATAAAGCATGTTCAGAGGATGCATGTTTTCAAAACAGCTGAGAGATCCTCACAGGAATAATTAAATCTTGCAGGGATATAAGGTGCACTGAAAGTATCCATAAAAAAAATAAATAGCAAAAGAAAAGCAGCTACATTGTCAAAAAAAAATCACTTAATTTCTATCAAAATTACAAATTCATATTAATCTGAAACATCCCTAAAACACTATATTTGTTTTAGTACATAAAGTATATCCTGCAGATTTGAGATTGCAGGATTTATATAGGTTCTGGTCTCCATAAATTTTGCAATCTCCCTCTTAAATATTCTTTCAATGAGCACACATTTTAAAAACAACTTCAGGTGAATAAAAAAAGATTATTGTGAAATATATGAAAAGGTACCAAACTAAATGGATGCCTGTGTGACTGTTTTGGTTATATCATACAGTCCCATTGTGGCATAGCCCTCCTACTGCGAACTCCCATTTCTCTCTTTGTTACATAACATGTTACACAACATATTGTCTCCTATCCTTTATCTGGCTTCTCCTGAAAGAGCTCACTTGTCCCATCCACACAGAAACATCCACTTGACTTCCATTCAACTTCTCACCATGTTTGCTCAGTTTTGCTTTGCTTTTTTGGCTATCTCCTCTCTGGCTGCTGCATCCGATCAAGGATGCGATGAGCTGATTAAACCTCTGGAGGACCGAAGCAAGGTAAGCTGTTCTCTGCACTGACATTGTAAAGCAGAGCCGAGTTAATTTTTGTGTAAAAGGCACAATTATCGATTGCAAAACAAATTTTACCCTCATTAAGTGGACCACTAGATTACAGTAATCAGACTCTTTTCTCAGCTTGCTGTCTAGATTTTTATTCATGCACAAAAGATGCCCCTTTAGGGTTTAAGAATAAAATGTTTTAAGATATTTGAAAAGAAATATAGTGAGAATTAAAGTAACGGTAGAATTTTCTGAATTGCTTGAACTGACACACACAAAACTAAATGTTAATGTTTCCCATTTAGAAATGAAAAGTTTTCTTGAAAGCTCATTTTTCTTATTGACATTTAGGTTTATGGAAAATGGATAACCTATGCTATAGCGTCTGACAGTGAGGAAAATCTAAAAGCATATGCAATCTCCACTAGCTCTTGGGCTAAAATGTCCCCGATACCTGACAGTGATGAATTCACGATCCACTACGTCGACAGAATGTAAGCTGGGATCCTTTAAAACTTGTTCTCATTACCTTTTAATTCAACAAAAATCAACTTTATGTTTATGTAATTTTTGATTCTTTTTGTCAGTGAAGGTAAATGTGTTCATGGGACGGCAAATTCCAGCACTTCAGGAAACACTACAACGGTGGTTTGTAAGTAGATAACAGTGCTCATCTGGCCTTTACCAGTAAATACTACTGATTTTCTGAATAGTATCATAACTGTCTGCTCTGTCTCCCATAGTTCACTTTAACTCCACTGATTATGAGTGTGTTGGGAGGTATTTGAAGACGTGCGCCGAATGTGTCCTCTGGTCTGATGAGCAGATGAAAGAGTTTGATGGAAAAGTTAAAAAAACCAACAACCTTGTTCTCTTTAGTAAGTTCTCAAAGTTTTGTGTGCAACAATTTATACTCTAGTACTCTCTAAAATTAAAATACAAAACAATTTGTTTGACTAATTATTGTCTGTCCCTTTCAATTATATTAGCAAAGACAGGAAAACTGGATGAGTCTGATAAAGAGATTTTCAAGAAACAAGCCAAGTGTCTCAACCTCTTACCAGATTTCTATTTCTCAGAAACTACAGGTTTGATTTTATTTTTTTATTATTATTATTTCTATGTGGAGCCAACTGTGGTTGTCAGTATGAAATTAGTTTTGGTATCCTTTCTGTTTCAGACCTGTGTCCTGAGCAGAGTGAGCCAACCACTGCCCCCACCGACACAAACTGAAGAATAGAGAAACCTCTCGCCTTCATCCCATCCTCATAGCTGCTGTAACTGAAGTCTGAAATATGCTTTCCTTGTTAAACCCCTCGTGCATCACTTTTTCTACTTCTTTGCAGATAAACTAACTCTATTTAGGTGCAAATTCAGTTTTATGTGCTTGATGTGTTCGGTTGATGTCTTACGCAGCAGAAAATAGAACTTTACAGTGTGAAAACATTGTTTTAACTATTATCATCAAAACATTATTGGTGGAGTTATTCAAGGAATATTTAAAATTTGCAATTCAGGTCTTCCTTCTGCAATCACCAGTTTTACAAACAGCTAACCGTGATTCTGATCCAATGCTCAAAGAAAATAGGGAGGTCTTTCACTTTTCCAGCCAGTTGGGACTATTACTTAAGAATTATACCTCTTCATGTGATTGGAAATCCCAGATTCAAGCAGGGTTGTCTCTCTGCTGATGTTTTTATAGCCTTTTTGATATGAGGGGTTCTTGCTATTTAGAAATTCTATTTTATAGGATCACTTGGATCTGGAGAGGTTGTACCAGTGTCTTTTTTTTTAGATCAAGCTAATCAGGCTTTATAAGTTATAAACTATCAGTTTTTGTTCACATGGAAAAAAAAAGATAAAGCAGAAAAGAAAGAAAAAAGAGAAATAAAGAGGGGAGGGGAATAATTGCCATACTGTTATCCTCTAAATGGGGAAATATTCTTTTTTTTTTATTTTTTTTTTTTAGATTTTATCAAATGCTCAATCCCAATAGTTTAATCTGTTTTTAACAAATTGATGATAAATTCTTTTATTATTGTTTTTTTTCACTAAAACAAAAACTGTGTCCTATTGATTTTGTAAAAGCATAGATTCCACTCATATATTTGTTAATAAATGTTTCCACATTGCAAAGCAAAATGTTTCAAATCTTTGTGCTTAGAATAGAGGTGTGTAAAAAATGCTGTGTTTCCATAAAAAATCCTTAGTTTCCTTTATTTAATCAGGAAAAACTAATTGAAATTAAAACCTATTTTATTAAATTAAAATTTCAGCATTATGAAACACAGAATACAAAACTAGGTACATAAAATACTTTTTTTAAGGTATGTTTAAAGATATGCATAAATCTTTGTAAAGCTTCTTTGTATTTTACTTCACAAATAGAGAATGATGTTTCTTGAATGCAGCTGATTGGGCGATTGTCTTGTCAATCACAGATTTACCAACCCAACCAGAGAGCAGTTAGGTTTTACTCCACATATTTGAACCATTATATTCACCCATCAGGGGGTGGATATATTCAGAGAGTAAAAAAAAAAAAAAAAAAAACTTTAGCAAACAAGAGGAGGCTATCTTCCTCTAAGTTTGTTGACCAGAATTTTACTGTTGCTTTGGTATCAACTTAGAAGCCAGGAACATTAAAATGTTTATTTAGATTTTAAGGGCTTCATCTACTGTTTATTTGTATTTATCACAAACACATGCAACTGCACTTTATACATAACATATACTGTAAGCAAAAGATAAGTTACATTTTATTCAAGAAAGATATTGCAATCGCTATAATCTTAGCATAATGATAATGATAAAATGGTACTGTGTTCTGTTTAGATATAAAAAAAGGATTTTTTTTTCTCTCTTTTTTGCTGGGTTGTTAAGTTAAAAGGCTCCTCTCCTGTGGAACCAACTACTATTTTTAGTTTTTGATACAGCTAATAGTCAGAGTACCTTATGCTATCCTTAGGTCTATTTAGTTACACTGCTATAGGCTTAGACTGCTGGAGGACACAGGGTACGCTTTTCACAATTTTACTTATTTCGGCTTCTACGCTTCAATTATGCAATATTTGAGAGTTCATTTTCTAAATTAATATTCTTTCTGCTTTTTCTTAACATAGTAGCCTCATCTGACCTGGTTTTCTGTTTTTTTTCTGATGGTTTCTTCCTGTTATAAGGGAGTTTGTCCCCTCCACTGTCACCCTACAGTATGTATGCGCAGTGTGGGGGATTGCTACAAAGAAGATTAAGGATTTGTTTTTGAGACCTATACCAGAAAATAGCTGTCTTTGCATTGCAGCCAGTTCAAAGCAACTGATAGACAGAACACAGTTGGCGAAACGCTTTAAGATTATGCACTGGATATTGGTTTATAAAGGTTTTAGATTGGTACCTTTACAGAAAGGTCATATAAAGCTTTGCAGGAATATTAACATGATACTATGTTATAGTATCATGTATATAATAAATGAATAAATCAGAAGAAGTCAATATGAAGAAGGGAACATAAATACCTACATCGATTTGGTCTCTGGTGTAAAGTTTATATGATTATATCACATTTTGCCTTTTCAACACAGCCCGCCCACATCCCTCTTTCTGTTACGTGACATATTGTCCCCTAGTCTTTATCAAGGCTTTGCTGAGAGAGCTCAGTTGTCCCGTCCTCCCAGCAGCCTCCACTTCACTTCTATTCACCTTCTCATCATGTTTGCTAAGTTTTGCTTCACTTTGCTGGCTCTGTGCTCTCTAGCTGCTGCATCTGATCAAGGCTGCGAGGAACTGATTAAACCTCTGGAGGACCGAAGCAAGGTAAGTAGGGGTGTGCTCTGAAATCCACTGATACATTGAAAAACAGAGTCAAAAATATATTAATTATATTATGCTGGAGTTTTATTTGATCATGCAGAGACAATAAATGACATTTCGTTCTTTTTTTGAAGTGAAAATAATGTTTTTCTGTTGTTTTTTTTACCTTGACAGATTTATGGAAAATGGGTATTACATGCAGGAGCATCAGACAGTGAAAAGAACCTGAAGGCAAAGAAAATTGTGAACAGCTCCTGGATTAAACTCTCTTCAATACCTGATACAGAGGAATTCAGTATGGCCTACATTGACAAAATGTAAAGTCATTGGGAAATTACCCTTATTTCCTTTTGGATGCATGTTTAAAATTCTATGAACATTTCAAAGTGCTAATTTCTTAACTCTCATTGACAGTGAAGGAAAATGTGTTTGTGGAACCGTTAATAGCAGCACTACAGGAAACGCTACAAAGGTGATCTGTAAGTAGATATCAGAAATTTCTGCTTTAAATCTGCAGCTCTATTTTTCAAACAGCAACAACGATACTTTTTTTGTTCCGTTTGGTTTAGTTTATTACAACTCCACCACATATGAGCACATTGGGCGGTTTTTGGAGACGTGTGATGACTGCATCCTGTGGACAGACGAGGCAGTGGCCGAGGTGAACGGGGAGACTACTAAAAGCAAAAATATCTACATCTTCAGTGAGTTCCCTCTTTTTAATCTCTGTTTTTAATTAATATACAATAAAACTGACAGATTTATTAGTTCTTTAACTTCAAAAATGTTCACCTTTTCCTTTAACAAACCTCAGCAAAGACTGGAAAACTGGATCCTGCTGATCTCGAGGTTTTCAAGAAGCAGGCAAAGTGTCTCAACCTCTTACCTGAGCTCTATTTTCTGGAAACCACAGGTAAGACTCAGTCTTTATTTGTCTGCAGCGTCTGCTATACAGCATCATTCAACTTGTCTCCCTTTTTGTTTTAGGCTTGTGTCCTGAAGAAAATGAACCTACCACTGCTCCCACAGAGGAAAACACTGAGGAACAATAGAAGAAATGCAAATTATCATCTTCATCCTGTACCTGCTGTTCCTGAACTCTTTGGACTTAATCAGCATTCAGATATGATTTCTTAGTCAACACCATGAACTATAACTTGTTGTACTTGTTTGGAAATAAACTATGTAGTCTGCTGCAAACCATTCACTGCTCTGTCTTTAATGTTGTTCAAAAATTAACCTTACTGATACATAAATGTTATTATCATAAGCGGATATATTTTCTTCCATCCATCAATACACTTTGCAAACCTATGCAGGAATTTCTTCTGTGAATCAAATAGTTTTCTATAAATTTTAAAATGTTTTTTTTTATATAAATGAAGATTCAAGTTAGGAAAAGTTGGATTTTTGACATGAAAAACAAGTAAAATCTAGAAGTGTAAAATACGGTAGATAGTAAGGAATAATTTTCTAAATTCTCTAATGAAGGAAAATGGTGTTTTAGTTTAGGTTTTGCTTTAAACTCTATAGTTTTGTCTTGCAAACCTAAATTTGAGATATAGACTGATATTTTGTGATGAGCCATGATTGAGGATTTCCTCTTTTCTGTTTGTCTTTTTTTGGTATTAAATATTTCTGTTAATTATTTTTAAGCAAATAAGCAGATTTGCAGAGAAGATAAAGAGTTTTTAGCAGCTATTTGTTTGATAGAAAAGAGGAAAAAACAAAAGATAATCTATTAACTGACATTCTATTGACTTTATATCGGATTTTAGAAATTTTAGGCTTTTAATTTTTGCTGTCCTTTTAAAGTCCAGTCTGAAACTCCAATATTTAAAATCATTTTTCAGGCCTGTTTTTTGTGTGTTTTACACTCCTCTGATGCTCAAAACAATCGTCCCTGCAGCTACACTCTTGCATTGTTGCATAGTTAAATTTGTTGATCATTTTATTTTTACTCTTCACTATTTTGTTTTTTGATCTCTTTTTGATCCGCTAAGTAGCAGCAAAGGACTTAGATTCAGTTTATATCAAATGAGTTGGGCAAATAATTCATTTAGGATTAATCAGCAAGATGGTGCAATAAAACTGACATTTCTACTAATAATGAAACAGAGCCCGATGGGCTGTGGGTGTTTCACAAAGTATTTAGCTTACAAATAGGGTCAAAGTTTGGTTGCAATATACATTTGAAGACAGATCCTTCAGGCTGTTAAAAAAAGGGCGATAAGATGAAGAAAACATTTTAGATCAAAATGATAAAGTTTTTTTTTGTCCCAGTAATGTTACAGACCGACCAACCTATCCTCATATTAATATCTATGCATGACATGGAGGAACTCACTGAACTTTTTGCACATGTTTGATGTTGCTGCTAGTTTCAAATACATCCATTACTGTAAAAATGCTGTATATTGGTTATTTTATTCTCTAGGTGCAAAGTTTTGTGTTGTTAAAGCACTTTACAGTACAGTATTGTATTTTTTTATCTTTTCACCAATATGTTATTCTTATATATATTTTTCTAAGGTCCACACTTGTGTGACAATTTTTTCTATAACCTTTTTGCTGCTGTAAATGCCAGAATATCCCCATTGTGGGACAATAAAGGGATTTCCTACAGTATTCTATTCTATTGTAGGCATGTATGTCTTCCCTTACTCCCATTTGATGAAACTTTACTAGAAAACTGAGTTAGTTTGGGGAGATTCTTTCTACAGAGTAAAGTTTATCTGTCATGAGAGATCATTGATTTTCTTATAGTCCATTATGAAAATCAGCTGTTGTTCTCTTTTGTAACTGTGTGACATAGTATGTAAATAATGAAAGTAGCTAAACAATATTAGTTGGTAAGAACTCAATCTGTATAGATTACAGAACCTCAGAGGCTGAAAAAAATATACTGTTAATTATCAATAGGAAAGGAGAAAGCAGGGCAAAGTTTTCTTTTTACAAAACTTCTAAAGATTTTCTCTGTTGCGAAAAGAAATGAGAACAGCATGGGGGAAATTTCCATGTGTTTTCGTCTCTCTGTAAGCCCCTGAGACCTTGTGTGACATTCTGTTCACATACTGAGACATGTGGGGGTCCTGCTATTCACACTTTGCCAGCTGCTTGTTATGTAACAAGATAAATAGGACACAAGTTCCTGCTGAGTGGAGGCGAGAAGTTAAACACTAGTTTCCAAGAGAGACCAGACACGTGTATTCAGCTGTGTGACTGTGTGTGTTCTGAACACAATTTCTCATTTTTGTTTAGAAAATCAAACAGGAATCAGGTGTTTTGATGAAGCCTTGGTGCATAGGGATCAGCAGAGGGAAAAAATAACATTTTATCTAATTTTGCAAGAGAGCGAGCATCATTGCAAAACTCTCTTGTGTGTGTGGCCCAGCCCCCCTGTTAGAAGACGTCCCTCGGTTCCTTTGAGGGTCTGTAGCTGGCAGCAGGATCCCTGACATCAGTGTTGCTCTCCGGCTGCCTGCTGTCTCCAACCATGGCTGCACAGCTGGTTGTTGCTCTGCTGGCTTTCACCTCCCTGAGCGCTACGGCTGAGCCGGACTGCAAGGAGCTGGTGAAGCCTCTGGTGCTGGACAGCCACAGCCCCGTGAGTACATCTGTGGTGGCTTGTTAGATTAGGACAAGTGTGAGAAGTCTGCTGGAATTCGCATAAAGCAGAGAGTCAGTTCTCTCTGCTAACAGGACTCAGTGTTTTATGGTTTTGGCAGCAGGGTTTTTGGCCTGCTTAAAGTTTTTGATTATAGCTAACAAAGTGATTAACATGAATAACCAAAAGCTGCAGTAGTTCTTTCTGAAGATTGTAATAGAACATAGTGTTTTATGTTTACTATTATAGGCAGACTCTAGAAATATTTAATTGAAATATATAGTTGGAGCAATATTCCTGTCAATAAATGCTTTATATCCTTGGCTGTTTAGCCTGTTATAGTTGTTGTTTTATATCCATTTGCATTGGCTCATATTTTTTCCTTTCTATTCACTAACAGTTCTTCCCATGGAAGGGTATATTATGTAATCAGAATTTTTTATCCATAGAAAAGTTACTTGATGGGTATTTTGCATTTCTTACATAAGTAGCAACACTTTTAACTTAACCACTCCTTTTATTATTTTGTAAAATCATTTAGTATTGCAGTGTTGCTTCTAGTCATTACGTCCCATGATCTTTTACCTATTA